ATCTCCAGACCGCGAGTATTCTCATGAGTAGCAGTGCGAGACTCCGGGCGTGACCTGGCACCTGCCTTCCCCTTACACGCGTACTCACACTCTCTGTGACCTCGCCGGCATCGCCCCGAGAAAGGCAATGCATACATTTCGCTCCGCCTGACAGTCTAGATAAAAAGGACCCCCTAGCTGATAAAATTTATGTGCACTTTCTGCTTTGGGGACATGTCTTGTCAAGGTTAACGCATCTGGACCGACCTAGACCCGTCAAGCAAAAATGCTACTTTTTCGGGTCTTGGATCGATGTGGCAGCGGCCTGCCCGCCCGTCGCCGGGGTGGGGCGGGTCGGGCCGGGCAAGGCGAGCTGCCCTGCCACAAGGCCGTAACGCCATGCCCAACGCCATGCCCGACGCCATGCCCGACACAATGCCCGACGCCAGGCCCAACGCCAGGCCCAACGCCAGGCCCAACGCCAGGCCCAACGCCAGGCCCAACGCCAGGCCGCCTTGACGCGGAATGTCGATACGACAGGGCTGAACGCCACGCATGGGCAGCTGCGCTGCGGCCGCAGACCTGCCCAGCCCAGCCAATAGCGCGTAGATCCGGCCAGCGAAACAGGACGGCCAACGACAGCGCCAGCAAGAAAGCGCAAAAAGCGACCAGAAAGTGAAAACGCTTCAGCAAAGCGCGCACCGGGGGGACGTGCGCCCTCCGTGCCGCGGCGCGCGCCACCGGGGACCACCCCGGCCCGATGGGGACACGGAAACGTAATTCGATTCCCCCGACGGGGTGGGCGGGGCTGCATCCAGAAATGAGACATCGTTCCCTTTTTCACTCTGCCGCGGGCCGGGCTCGCGCGGGCCCCGCCGGGCCGCTCGCTCGCGTCACGCCGCCGCCCGCCGCCGTCGCCGTCACGCCGTCGACCGCCGCCGCTGTCTCGGAAAGTTAATTTCCTGACACGCGACATAAAAATACTCCAGGGACCCCCGCGCGCTCCGCAGCCCCGCCCCAGCTACTGGTTCCCACGTGGTCAGCCGCCCGCCCAGCCC